CGTGAAAGGCTCGCAAAATCCCTCAAAAGTCAAAATTTATTCACGTTTAAACATTATGTGGATAGCACAGTAGTTGTGTTAACCGCATGATTCTGTCATGGCACCGATCCCCTCTAGTTCTCAACAGGAGACCAAATCATGTAGCACGCCTCATTACCCAGTTTGAAACTAGGACGTAAATGGTTGTCGACTCTTTACAAAAACCATATCATGCTTGAACATAAAACCAGCCACATGGATCGGTACCGAATAAATAAATTGTTTTGTAGAGTAGGAAAATGTCGGCGGACGGCAGTTTGTCATCGACTACCTGCGAGGACGGGTAATGGAAAGAAAATTAGGATTGCTCCGAAATGGCAGGAAAGCAATGGGAATCCGCCATCTCGGATATCAGACAATTCATAGGGGATAACTCCTTTTGTTCGATCATCACCTAGGAGTAGTTTTTAATACTAAGAAATAGATATTGTTAATTAAATTGTTTTTAAAAGTGCTAAAATCGTGACACGCCAGACGCTCTTTATAATTCAGGCAATTGTCTCCTATTATTTTGTAGTTGTAATTTGGGATTTTGACAATCTTCGCCATACATCCATCAAATCGCCCCCTGCTACTGGATGCAAATGGATTATTTCACAAGTTTTATAGAAGTTTCAGATATACTAATAAAGAGTCATTCTTACAACATTCCATTTAAAACCAGATAATAGTACGTAATAAAGAATGTTTTATTCGACCACATTTCTGTGTATATAAGCGTACTATGTCGTCTCGTTAACATGACAGGGTTGGGTTACAGTCTTCAACGGATTTGTATTCCAAATTTGGTGTGAAGCACTGGGGTCATGACAGGGAGATCCCTATCGATATTCTACGTTCCGCGTATTATGTCAATACCCTGTCCGCCGGTCCGTCCACATTTTCAACCGATTGGTTTTTTTTCTTCAAATTTTGTGTGAAGTATTGAGGTCTTGGCAGGACGATGATTATCGATATTCAATGCTCCACGTATTGCGTCGTCACCCTGTTCGTCGATCCGTTAGTATATCAGTCCGCCCACAATTGGCTCGTTTTAAAAAAAAAATAGAACAGTCTAGTTTTCAACAATTATTTTTTCAAATTTGATGTGAATCGTTCCGCGCATTATATCGTCACCCTGTCTGCCCATCCGTCCACAATTGACTCGTTAATGCGATAACAGAGCTAGGCTACAGTTTTCAATGGATTTGTATTCCAAATTTGGCGTTATGACAGGACAATTCCTATCGATATTCAACGTTCCGCGACCTTGTTAAACTCAGAGAGTTTAGAGTTTTGTAACATATTTTTAAAGGATAGGTTGCCAGACTATGAAACATACGCCCACAGACGCTAAGTCGTCCGAGAGTCAACAAGGGTTATTAAATAATTTTGTCTTTTGTCGGTAATGAAAACATTTACAACACACTAAAATCTGATAACGAGTAACAACCCATTAAGTAATTATCAGAAATCATTAAAATTTGTTTCGATTGTTTGTCTCGTGACTTTTTGTATAAATTTGTGTTTACATTTATATTAACTTTAGCCTCTAGCACGTCCACAAGAGATTTCTCAAGTAATCAAGGGTCATAACTCTGACAGTAATTATCGGAAATCAATAGACTTCTTCGTCTCACGACCTCAAACACTGTGTATAAATTTAAAGTGAATCGGATATTAGCTTTAGCGTCTAGAGCGTCCATAAGCAATTGTGGTCAAGGACCATAACTCATGCAGTAATTATCGGAAATCGTTGAAAATTTAACGGCGTTTTCTTCTTATAACGTTAAACACTATACAAATTTTATGTTAATCGAATATTAACTTTAGCCTCTATTGTGGACGCCGGACCGACTGAAGGCCGGTGGCAATATACGACCACATTTCAATGTGGGCGTATAAAAATTGATGTGAAGCATTGGGGCCATGAGAATTAACACTATCGATATTCAATGTACCACAATCTACGAGTTATCCAGCTTTTCCAGCTATCTGGTTATCGTGATCTACAGTATTTAATGGGTTTATTTTACATTCGGTTCACAAGTGGACAAACCCTACCGAAATTCAACGTATCGCGACCTTTTGCCCCCCCCCCCACCACCCACACCCTTCTTCGCTTATGAAAACAGGAACAGTAAGCTATGTCTGTACTACTATCTATAACCGGGGACGTATTTTGCTATTGTTATGTCCTGTTGAAAGTTACAGTGTGCTGTAATAGAAATTTTTAACCCGGACAGCGCTACGGCCTGCTCTAATTTCGAATTCCAACTGTCAAGTATCCTTTTACATGCACGTCAATTAATGTGCACACGGGATCTTTGTTTGTCGTCTTATCCGAACGACTAGATACTGTTCCTTGTCAGACAAGTGGAAAATCCCGAGGAACCGAAACCCCCTGGTTATTGCATTTTTAAAGCGAGTGTTTTGTCGATTAGAGCTAAGACATTAGTCTTTTTCTTCGACAAATGTTTTAATCCTTTAATTACACTTGGATCAACCTTAAACAGAAAGGAAAAATTTCTAATTTGTGAGAGAGAGAGAAATGGGGTTTAACGTCCACTCGACACAAACTAGGTCATTTCGGGACTAACATGTGGTTTAATTTTATTTCAATAATTCGCTTACGCGTAGGGGTCTTTAGCAGTGGGAGGAAACCGGAGGACCCGGAGAAAACCCACGAGGCTGGACAGGCGACCCTACTCCTTGTCACGTACAACCGGGAATCGAAACCACGCCAGTTGACTCAATGACAGGCCGTATGATACAGCACGCACGTGCTAACCATTCGGCCATCCACCCCCCCCCCCCTTCTAATTTGTATTAAATTGTGAATGTCAAATAGATTCACTCAACCAAATACATGTAAACCACTGCATTAACTTGTATTTTAAGGGGTATACGGGGCGTAGTAAAAAAAACCCTAAAAAACGTCAAGAAAATACCTTTCAAATCGCAAGTCCCCAAATGCTTGTCGGAATTCTGAAACGAACTAGATATCCAGTTTTAATAATCCATTATGCCGGGCATTCGATAGATCTGTTCTGGAAATGAACAGATCCTCGCATATCCGGGGATAGGCGAACTAATTTAATAAATTGACATCATTTTATTATAGGCTTATTTAAGACTAACGACTTTAAGCTCTCGGATTAATCCAGTGATTCTCAACCAGTGTGCCGCGGCAAACAAGTGTGCCGCGAGATCTTCCTAAGTGCGCCGCGAAATTTTGAACGGCACACTAAGAAAATGTGAAAAAAACAGGTGATCCCAATTCGGCAATTGAGTATCCACTGATAAGTTCATAGCTGTGCGTTTTTCTTCATTTAGTTTGAGTCATTCTAAGTGTCTATGACTAGTCTCTGTCTACGGTTGTATGCCGTCTGACTTAACCATCTTTTTATTTTGCAAAATTCAGATACTTTTCATATATATTTAGCCAGGTGTGCCGCTATTTCTTCATGTGTTCCAAGGTCTGCCGTTGGCAAAAAAAGGGTTGAGAACCACTGGATAAATCGGTAGCTTGGTTCGCCGACAAGATTCGCTAATAATTTTGTTGACCGTTTAATTTTTAAGGCAGTTCAAAACACAAGCTAAACTTCAATGGAATACATATATCTTTGAATATTTATTACGACGTCTATACAATTTTCCGGCAATTTCAAATAAGAATGTTGGACAAGCACACCAATAAGGAAAACGTAAAAATCTTTCAGCCAATTCCCCAGGTAGATGCAGATATGTTTATTCCATGTAAATGGGAGAGAGAGAGAAATGGGGTTTAACGTCCACTCGACACAAACTAGCTCATTTCGGGACTAACATATGGTTTAGTTTTATTTCAATAATTCGCTTGCGCGTAGGGGTCTTTTTAGCAGTGGGAGGAAACCGGAGGACCCGGAGAAAACCCACGAGGTTGGACAGGCGACCCTACTCCTTGTCACGTACAGCCGGCGATTCGAAACCACGCCAGTTGACTCAATGACAGGCTTTATGATACAGCGCGCACGTGCTAACCATTCGGCCATCCAATCCCCCTATTCCATGTAAATAAAATCATGTTAAGATATTTCGAGCATGCTTTCAAAAATAGAAAATGATCTTGACTTTACATGTGTTTACATATTTATATAGGCCTAGATTTTTATTGTATCTAAACACCCCATAAGAGGCAGCATACAAATATCCACATAACATTTTAAAAAGAAAAAAGCATGAACATCATTTATGACAAAGGCTAATAATTAAATTTTAAAAAACCCCAACAACAACAAAAAAAAAACCAACAACATCGCATGCAACTGTTTACATAAAGATAGATTGCCACTCAAGATATTTAGATTTTTATTAGTATTTTTTATTTATTTAAATTCTAACATTTAGACAGAAATGGTACATTTGATTGGAGCCGAGCGGAGGGAGTCGAAAATTACTATTTAACATGCTCTTCGAGGCCAGTTAAAATCATCGGGAAAGGGCTACCTGTCGTTCTCATTATCACTAACATTAATTTTGGTAAATATTTATGTGGTTTGGTTTAACCATAGGTATTCTCCCGGTATAGGCTACGTGTCAATCGTTTCGTTTGTGGTTCATGTGGTTCATACGAATCGAAATGTAAGTCAAACTGACAAACATACTTCTTAACACGGGTGGATAAAAATAGGGATGAAACAACCTTTTAATTTTTGGAAAAAACAACCTTTTTTAATTTGGGGATGAAACAGCCCGGGTGAAACGGTTTGGGGATGAAATGACCTTCTCCCCAAAAATATAACTTGGATTGTTTTAATATCATTCTAGTAGGGATCCGACTCGATGGTCCTTCCCTTTCATTCTGCTTCTGCATTTGGCAGTCAGATTTAAATAATCCTGTTGTCGTCGTACCAGGATTTATTTCTTTGCGAAATGATATTAACGGAAGGGAGATAACCCTCTTAATTTATCTTGGAGTTGTTGCCCCTGAATTACTACGACCGGAAGTAAGTTTAATAGTAAGCTTTTTGTTTATTTTTTTGTCATGATATTCTATTATATTGTGTTTTAGTTTAATATTTCAAGGCGTTGCTAATAGCATTTAGCTTAAATGTAAGTCTGAGAACGTGATACCATCTGAATGACTATAATCTATTTAAAAACAGCTTTGAATTTGTGAAAAATCACCTTCTGTTGTGCTGGATCCTTATTTTAAATGTGATTCATTGTCACTCACATAACTGTCAGCCATCATGTCATTCATTAAAATTTTATAGTAATTCATTGTACAATACATTTGCAGACTGAAAGTACATCATAAGCCAGCATTCATGTTAGATGTGCCTACCATATTTGTGTTATAGGTTTTAATCTTAAATACCTGACCCTAACCCTAATAATAGAAAGTAGGAATCCAGTCCATTTGTGGACACAGTACGGACGGTTAACTGCTAGTTATTCAGTGTAAAAGTGATTGAAATAGAAAAGGGAGTCGGATCGAACATGATCGCCCATAAGCCAAGGATTATAATATTTTCATTGATTACATGTGTTTAATAATTGTTACAGATTGGTGAATATAAAGATCCAGCAAGATGTCTGGATTTCTAGATAACTGTCAATGGCCAAAGTGTGATTGTATTGAATTGGGAGAGAGAAGAAACAGTGTAGCCTCAATTGTATCAGGAGTTATGGTATAACAAATAAATATCAATTTTCACATTTCAAAATGTTTTATTATAAATTATTATAGATTATAGACTCTATATAATTACATTTTGAAGACTGAAATACATGTAGTTCTGACCCCATGGATGTGTGATTTATATCATTATGCTATGCAGTCCGTAGATTTACCTATAACAACCCAAAACCATTGTTGAAACGTAGCTTTATAGAAATATAGTAGTTGTTATCCATAGAACTGTTGTGTTTATTTTAACCCAAAACCACTTTAATTACCAAAAACAACCTTTATGATTTTTTCTTTCTTTTTGTATGAATGCACGTAGACATTAATATGTCCTAAACTTTGCTCTCTTTTTTTTTCAGAACTATTAAAATAATAGAAAAGTTTACTTAATATTAATCATTCATATACAAAGAAAAAAAAAACATAATAAAAATGTGTTGTTTTATTCAAAATACAGGTTGTTTTGGTTAACTAAAGTTGTTTTGGGTAAATCTATAGACCCTATCATTATGTCAAAAAAAATCTACGACTAAGCGCAGAGGCCTGGAGGCAGTGTTTATACAACATGATTTGACTTTGATGATCATGTGTAAACTAAAACAAAACCTATTTATTTTGTATAACAAAGTTTAGATCTGGTAAGGTATTTGAACGTGTTATACAACATAGCGCTCATGGTGACAATATATGTTTTTTTGTTGTAGTTTTTCGCAGGTTGGTGGATCGTGATTGATGCCGCTGCATCTTATCCTAGTACAACAGATTTTAATCATGCTTATCATACACCAGGTGTTATAGGAACGTTGGCATTCTTTCTGTAAGTATTCAGAGGGAGAAAGGGAGAGAAATGGGGTAACGTCTGCTCGATACAAACTAGGTCATTTCGGGACAAAACAAATGGTTCAATTTTATTTCATTAAGTCGCTTGCGCGTAGGGGTCTTTAGTAGTGGGAGGAAACCGGAATACCTGGACAAAACCCACGAGGTTTGACAGGCGACCCTACTCCTTAAAACCACACCAGTTGACTCAATGACAGATCTTGTGATACAGCACGCACGATTGCTAATTAATAATTTAATTTAAAAATGAGTAATCAAGATTTAGTTTATTATCATAACAATAGTAACAATGACTACACTGCTACTGTTCTTCAAACTGCAATAACTCCACTCTGAGTGAAGTAATTTGACAGAAATTTTCAACATATTCCCTTTTCATTATCTATTTTTGAACTACTATAGCAAGAACTGTCAGCCCTTTATCTAAATCTTCCATAATGCATCGTTAAGTACAAGTTGAAACTAGTAAAATGTGTTACGTATATAAACATTATTATTATATATTTCAGGATAAATTCTGTATCAAATGGTCAGATAAGAGGAGAGTCATATACAAATGGTTGTCTTGGTCAAACAGGTTGGTTTATATCCAATATTATTTACTATTAATTTCCTATTTCTACCAATGAATCATATACATATATACACGCAAAAATATATTATCTAAATATTGTTTACCTGAAGTGCTTAATAAGATAAGCGAAAGTGGTAGTGGTAGTAATCAACAAATAATGTAGTTCTTTTTTCAAAGAGTTTTATATTTTTGTGTATTTTTAATACCTAAGAGTAATGATCTTTAACTTTTCCTATATATTAAGATAAATAGTTTAGTTTGCAAGGGATTCCTGTGGCTCTAAAATGAAGCATCAAGCCTTTAATTATTGGATATATGTAATATATTTCAGCCCCTCTTTGGATTGTTTAACCGTTAACTGCGTAGGGCGTTATATAACGTCCTGGACAACTGCCACTCACCGTGTGTAGGACGTAATATAACGCCCTGGAGATATTTTCCCCAACCTATTCTTCGAACATACGATCGCAGCATGTGCAGGAAATCTAATTGAAGGGAGACAACTCTATTTACCGTTAGTTTTAAAATGGTTTCGGACCACTATAGTTTGTATTCAGGAATACAAAGGTCCAAAAATGACGTTTTTCGTCAAATTAATTACACAATAGGGGGTAGTTAACATTTTAAAAACTACACAGTTAAGGGGTTAAAAAATGTTGAAGAGCCCACAATTTTTCAAATGTCTGAATCTTATCTAATGATGAAATTTATAGATCATGAGGCCAAGAAGTGTTTTTACTTTCAATGATTTCCGATATTTACTTATGGGAGATTTGGACACTCTTAGGGGCTAAAGTTATCATCTTTTTGACAAAGGATCCTATTGAATTTTAACAATTTTTGATAGCTGACTCACTAACTGTGAGGTCCTAAGATCGATCTGGTATTGGTCCAGAAAGTTCCTCAGGATTTTCATATCTGTATATATAATACTAAATGGAATTAAAGTATTCTTATACTAATATCCCTTTTAGAAATTTAACATTCACGATACAGAGCTAAATCTGCCTATTTTAGGTCTTTTTTTAGGCCTGAAATGTTATATAAGCTATTAATTAGACATTTATTAACATGACAAAACCCTAATCACCTCTCTAGACATCGAACAACTCTGATTTTAAGTAGATTAGAACGGTTTGGCCATTTATCGATTTAAGACTCAAATGACCAGTACAGTGGTTGTGATCAAAGTACACATCTTGCCAAAACTACAACCATTGATAGCTTTGCCCATAATAAAGTAATTTGAATGAAATTTTCAATATATTCATTTTGATAATCTATTTTTTAACTATTATAGCGAGAACTGTCCGCTCTTTATGTAAATCTTACATATTGCCCCTTTAAAGATACATTATGGGGGATTAGAAAAAGAGCTGGCAGTTCTCACTAGAACAGTTAAAAACTAGATAATGTAAAGAGAATTTGCTGAAAATTTCAGTCAAATTGATCCACTATCATTGAAATTTCGGCGTAGCCTCGATCATCATTACTAAAGTGTGTACGATAAAAGACAAGTCTCGATTATCCATTGTCATGAATGAAAGTTAAGCAGCAAATCAAATCATAATCCAATAAATATCGCGGGCTAGCGTTGACATCAAGAGTTTATTATGGTCTGGATAAGTTAATTAATGTCTAATTAATAGTTTATATAACATTTCATGCCTAAAAAAAGACCTGCAATAGGCAGATTTAGGTCTTGCATAATTTATGTTTTTAAAGTAATATTGTAATTGTAATATTCCCCAGGTGCTAGAGTATGGTTATTTATTGGTTTTCTGATGTCTTTTTCTGCCTTGATTGCTGCATCATGGATTCTATTTGGTTTTTATGTAGTAAGTAAAGGTAAGTTGAGAAGTAATCTTATTTTTAATCAAATGCTCTGTAGACAATTGAATAAAATAGCCCAGTTTGATAATGTAGTTATCTCCCTTTATTTGACAATTTCTCATATTTTTAGGAGTCTTTATTTTTAAGTCAGTTGTTCAGGTCGATATTCAAACACGCTGATTTACATTCCCAAAATGGTTAGAGTTAGTGGTAGATAATCTTAACCCTAACCTAGGATTTCCAATAGATCAATTTTCCAAATGGAAATGACCTCCCCAAATTAATGTGATCTCTCCAAGGAATCCAAAAATAGACAACACCGATTAATAAATGCTTTTTTGATATAAATACTCTCTAGACCAACATGTAGTCACAAAAAATCAAACCAAAGTCTGGATCTAGTTTTAAAAACTACCCAGAGCACTACCAGTTGACAAAGGGTAAGAGTTACATGACTTTTTGACTGAAATGAAATGAAATGGGGTTTAATGTCCTACTGTTCTGCTCCGAACTGGGCTAATGAAGACGAGCATATGCCATACTTTGTGCTATGGGGGAAATTTTGCCCGGACAACGGCACTACGGCCTACTCTTATATCAAATTCCAACTGTCAAGGGATGTTTTATGTGTATGTCAATGTGTACAAGGGACCTCGTTTTTTTCATCCCATCCTGACTTTGTGACTAGTTTAGGAAAATGCCCCCAGCCATTCAGATATAAAATTTAGAACTGTTGTCCCGAAATGGTAGTGTCTGTTAAGTGAACGTTCGACCCTATCCCCATCTTTTTTTATAAGCTCGGTTGGAGCAGAAATCCATTCATTAAACCAGTGGTTAAGGTCAATAAGTGACCCTTTTGAGAGGCCAATCATTAAGAATTAAGAAAAATTCCACATGACATGATTTCTGATCCCCTGATCCAATCCATGATTTATAATACCAGTGAAACTAGTCAAGCGTAGTGAGACAACTAGTATTTCCATGGACTGGAGGTGGGCTAGAGAGCTGGACAGTGTATTTCATGCATAATGTAATGAACAAAGAAAGGATACAATAAATGGAGTTGTCCCCCCTTGTTCAAGTAACCTATTTAATGACTCAAACATTGTACAATATAAAATGTTTTTTCTTTCATTTAGTTTCTGAACATGACTGGCCAGGAATTGCAGTGTTTCTTCAAAATGCTCTGATTTTCTTCAGGTAATTGTTGTATTTAAATGATTTCTTTATATTTCAAAAGTTTTTCCATCAAGGTTGAAAATACAAATTTAAATTCTATAAAATTGTTAATTTCTCAGTTCTGTTCAATTTTGAATGAAGAAATAATGGTGTTGGATTGAAACATACACTTTAATATATAGAAACTATACCAAGTGGTGTATTGCTCTATGAGAACAGTGTTGTCTTACTTTGTTCAGGAAGAGAATAATGTTCCCAAATTTTTCAAATATTTTCGATCAATACTATCTAGTAACAATTTCAAATTATTTTTAGTATTACATAACTGGCTTTAACTACTTTGTAGTATTGTGGGTTGGATGGTTAACACATGCTCGTTGAATCAGAAAGCCTGTCATTGAGTCAAGTGGCATGGGTTCAATTCCCCGCTTGTATGTCACAAGGAGTAGGGTCACCTGTCCAACCTCGTTGATTTTCTCTGGGTCCTCTGGTTTCCTCCCACAGGTAAAGACCCCTATGCACAAGCGAATTATTGAAATGACTTAGTTCTTGTCAAATGGATGTTTAGCCCCATTTCTCTCTCTCTCTTTCCAACCCCGTGGGTTTTCTCTGGGTGCTCCAGATTCCTCCCACTGCTAAAGACCACTATGTGCAAGCGATTTTATTGAAATAAAATTAAACCATGTCTTAGTCCCGAAATGACCTAGTTTTTGTTGAGTGGACTTAAACCCCTCTCTCTCTCTCTCTCTCTCTCTCTCTCTCTTTCTCTCTCTCACTTTGTAATATTTCAAATTGGACTGCAAACAATATTTTTAAATGCAACTTAAATAATTTTTACACGTATAAATGTATTAATTTTTACATGTATATTTTTTCCAGTGGATTAGTGTTTAAATTTGGAAGAACAGAAGATCTGTGGAGTTAGATGAAAATCAGTAATATCTAACAGATTAAAACTGGGTGATCAATGATTTCATTGATGGTGCATCCTATTTACATGTTGACTGCTTCGAACAATAATTTATATAATAAAACTAATATAAGCTTTTCATTTAATTATTCTCACTCGTTCATTAGAATTTATACATTATTTCAGTGTTATTTAATAGAAATAAGAAATAGAAGAACGATCTAAGTCACATTTTTCTCTTTTCGCATAATAGGCAAAACAGACTTTTGGACGAGAATGCTTGACGCAAACATAACAAAGCGAACATAACAACGAGAACATAACAACGAGTGGGTTTAATTACAACTTCAAAATGATGTTTACTAGGAACCATAATTACCAGTACAACTGACTTCAACTTTTCAGGCAAATTAAGGTTAAATAAAGGGTACGATAGACTTGTATTTGTCCAGGAGCACATTTCAAAAGGGCCTTGGTTCGATGTGACTCCGATCGTTTTTACCTGAAATAGATTGTTCCACAGAAAGCTTATACAATTTGCTACCAGTTGGAGCCATTAACTGGGGTTCGTTGGAAAAGTGACTTAGATCGTTCTTCCCCGGGGCTCTTCATATGTGACAATTCTATGGAATACAATAACTGTTTATTACTGATGAGGTCATAAATTGTTTTAATGGCATTTAGTAATTGAACTGGAATATACAGGTCACAATTCTATGGAATACAATTACTGCTTATTACAGAGCAACGTTTCGACTAGGCTTCTCTAGTCATTATCAAGCAAACAACACTCAGTAATAAGCAGTAATTCGTCTGAGGTCAGGTTTTTGGAAATTGTATGGTTGATAAAGATTAGATAACCTAGGTGAAATGTCGCGCCATAATAAAAGGTACTTGTATTCCATGAATAGTATCCTGTGTACAGAATTTGTACAATACTCCAATCTTAACTCATGCTTTTAGACATCGGTCTCTGAATGTGTAGTTGTATTATTTATACAGAGAGTCTCTTTTATGAGGGAAATTTTGCCGGAATTCCAACTCTCGGGTGTTCTTTTACTTTCGCACAACAGGACCTCAGTTTTGTCTTCCTATCTAAACAACTAGACAGCAGATGCTGTCCTTGCCAGACCCGTAGTTGCATAGGACTAGGATAAACATTTCTAAGAGCCTTTCACACATAACCAGTTTAATTCACTAAATATATGTCTTGTAAAACTCTTTTAAATGTGAAAAGACTTCATTCTTAATCAAAGGGCATGTTTTGTTCCTTGTTAAACATACATTATGCAAGAGATAAATCTGCCTATTGCATGTCTTTCTTTAGGCCTGAAATGTTATATAAACTATTAATTAGACATTTATTAACAAAACAAGACTCTCGAACGGTTAGAACGGTTCTCCATTTAAAGATTTAATTTAAAAATGGGAAAGCGAGGCTAAGGCTCGAATATACCAGTGCCCTGGTTACCACAATGCACATATTTTATCAAAACTACAAACAGCGATAACTTGGCTCAGAATGAAGTAACTTGAATGAAATTTTCATTTTACATTATCTATTTTTGAGCTATTATACAATGTAACAAGAATGGTCAGCTTTTTATCTAAATCTTACATAATGTATCTTTAAGGAATGTTTAAATTTTTTCGAATATTTAATTTTTATTTCTCGAACAAAATTCTATTATTGATATTATGAAGACTATTCTGTTTTTAATACACACACTGTTTTTGAATATTTATTGTTATGTTGGTAATGTAAAAATTGTGTAGATAAATAAGCTGTAATTAAAGGGACATATCATTGAGTTTTCTATTACACACAGGGCATCAGGCATCAAGTCATCAACCCTTATGAGCAGATATTCTTTTCTGGAAGTAAAGGAATGAAATGTCTCTTTGATAGGCTATATTACCAATATTATTCATGTATTAGTTATACATACATACATACATACATACATACATACATACATACATACATACATATATATATATATATATATTAAAATTGTATTCCTTATGAGAATGGTAAAGAGTTCCAAATAATGGGAACATCAGAGGAGAAGGCACAATCAGAACGATTTGATTTCGTTGGAGGTACCCTTAGTAGATTCTTATCACATGATCTTATATTGCGTTAAGGACAGTAATTGGTTAGTTGTTCTTTTAAGTATTCTGGAGCAATGTCACAGTGGAGACAGTTATAAGTTTAAATGATAGGCCTATTTTAAACAATTCTTTGTTTAACTGGAAGCCAGTGTAAAGCCGTGAGGATTTCTTATTGGTAGACGGAAGGTCACAGCATATCGGGGCCGTACTGTGTAAAGATAGCAAACAAAATGAAAGTAGGATCTAATTTTAATCTAAGATGTAAAAATATTTATAACTTTGTAAATGCTACTTTGTAAATAAACATTTGATGTATTTATGCATTGTAAAATGACTTTATTATTATAAGGATTGTAACTGCTTGGGGTTCTCCAGATAGCTACCACGTCCTACAAGAACTAAGAGGATCCCAACCAAACATGTGGACAAGGAGAAAATATGGACATTGTAAGTCATAACAGAACTATCAAACCAAATGAATCAATGTGGGTTATTATAAGAATAATAAACTGTCTGGGGTTCTCCAGGTAGGTACCACATCGTACAATAACCAAACACATGGACAAGCAGAAAATATGGACACTGTTAGCAATAACAGAACTATCTACATGTAATCAAATGAAACGATACCGGTTTGCTCTAAAGTGTGTGTTGCACTAGAAAGTCCCGCATCTATGATGACTTGACTTAAATTTTAAGTTGAAAAATTTACTTGCTATAAAAGATATTAAAAATGCAATTTCATAATTTTTCTGCCTGTAGAAGGAGAAAATCATGAAGAAAGAGGACTTTAGACATCTGTTCCGTAGTTTGAGTTCGTACTTGGTTTTATTTTATTACATTAAGAGCCCCCCCCCACCGAAAAAAAAATAAGTTACATATTACATATTGTAATGCCTGCGAATTGAATAAGTTTTATAAACGAACTTTCTTATTGGAGTTTTTCTATTTAATTTAGGGGGGGGGGGGGCGAATGGTTAAACGCGTGCGCGCTTGATCACAAGGTTTGTCATTGAGTCAAGTGGTGTGGTTTCAGTTAACTGCCTTTACGTGACAAGGAGTAGGGTCGTCCGTTTTCCTCTCACTGCTAAAGACACATATGCGCAAAAGAATTATTGAAATATAATTGAACCATATGTTAATCCCGAAATAACCTAGTTTGTGTTGAGTGGAGTTAACTCCATTTCTCCCCCTCTCTTTGGATTGACGATACTTTTCTTTCATTTTTATATGCGATCCATATAGATAGGGTTTTTTTTTAATTCAGTCGAATATTATTACAACTGTTCTCTGAACCTGTTTTGCAAGATAATGCCATGATCTAACCAACCGTGCTTCCATATTATTTAATGTTTAGAATAAACTGCATCTATATTATTAGGGAAGTCCGGAGCAAAGAATGCTCCTCCGGTACTCTTTTATGTATCCATTTACACTAAATCTTCATTTATTTTACTTAATAATTAAAAATATGGTTTCATAATTTAATTTGCAGAAGAAAAAAAGAGTTTATTTTGAGAATTAATTAACTCGCCCCGACGTCATCCCGATCAGTGATTTAACAGAACACAATTTTTATGGGATAAAGGCGGCTAACCGAATATATACTGCTTATCAGTTTCTCATTTTATAAGCAATCGTGGTTAGATCTATTTGATAAGGCCAAATTCAAGTTTGGTCAAAGGTCACGATATGTAAACAGGGCTAGTGCTAATCCCAACCCTAGTCCTAGTCCCAATGCTTACCCTAACCCTAACATACAATCTCGCCAACAATCACGTGATTGAAAATGTTGACAGAATACTCTTCGAAACGTTGCCCAAATAAATCAGAAGATCGTGTCTCTAAGCAGAGAGCAACAACATTACTATCAAGGGACCTTTTACATGCACGGGACCTCGGTTTTTCGCACCATCCGAACGACTATACAGCTGTCCCATCCGACCCCCCCCCCCCTTCCGTCCTGCATCACTAACTAGGGGGAATTACGCCGGAAAATCTGAATGAACTTTCTCGGCCAATGCAGGGATCAAACACAATGAAACGAATTTGCTGTACATTTCAATATATAAAATGCAGGATTACAAACAAGGCGCAGCGGTGTCTATTTAAAACCTAATGAAATATATTAAATTTATTATTGATTTAGTTATAATTCTAAACTTAGATTTCAAATACACTCTTTATATCTGAAATGAAATGGGGTTTAAGGTCTGCACCGACTGGGCTAATAACAACGGGCCTACGCTATACAGTGTACTATGAGTGAAATTTCCCCAGGCAGCGGCGCTAAAGCCTTCGAATTCCGACTGTCAATGGTTATTTTCCTTGCCCGTCAATGTGTACACGGGACCTCGTTTTTCTGTCCCATCCGAACGACTAGTCACAGTCTTTGCCAGGCCCTCCGTTCAAGTATCACTGACAAGAGGAAACCGCGCCGAAAAATCCCGGTGATCTTTCTCGGCCAATACCGGAAGCGATCCCGAGACCTGGTTAGCGTGCCAGTGTCTTAATCACTGAGCCACCCCGACTCGCCTCGTTATATCTAAAAGTATATTCAAAATTCAAAATTTAATCAATAATAAATCAATGAAACTAGAAGAAAATGATGTATAAATACAAACGATGTTTTATTTACATGTAAATAAGGCACAAGAACATCACACAGTCGCCCTAATATCACAAACAACAAGATTTAAAAATACACTTTGTCAATAAGTCTTAAGTCACGGTTGTTCAAAGTTTTTGTTATGAGTCACAATTCACTGTCTTGTATCACTAGTTTTCACATCCTTTGCAGTGATTCTAAATGTTTTGAACTTGCAGTGGGGTAAAGTTTTTGGGGAGGTGACATCGTGGGAAGGCTCGTGTGAACAGCGTGGGAGTAGGGGTAGACTGGGCACGAACAGGCAGATGAGCACGATACTGGAACTGGAAGAGAACTTGGTAGATGCTGATGGGCCGGAGATGGTTGGTACGGAAATCCCGGAGGTCCGTTTACAGCCGTTGGTGAAGATGGTAATGGTAAATATGGTAATGGAGATGGTACTGGAATACCTGCGTGGACTGGTAATCTCTGTTGAGCACCGGATCTATACATATCATCCAAAAGATGTCGCAATTCGTCAACTGTTTTCGATAACATTGTAATGTAGTTCTTAGCCAACGACAACGTTGCTATTTTTGATATTTTTCGCACTGATGGTCCTTTGGCATAAGGCATAACATCACGAAGCTCTTCCATAGCTAAATTCAGATCGTGCATCCTCTTACGTTCGCGACCGTTAATTTTGGATCGTAACTCATGGATTTCGTCGTCGTTGAGTCCCCGAAGTGTATAACTTGTTTTCCTCTTCAAAGCTTCACACGAATTCCTGTCACTGGAATCATCAGTGTCGTCATCACCAATGACGTCGATATATTCCTTATTATCTTCAGCAGTGGTCAGATTCTGAGGAGACATCGCTGTAGTTGTCTTTGTTTTAAAAATAACTTTCTTCAATTTCTCCCTGATGCTTTAGACTTTAGCACGATATTTTAGTCTGAGGTTACTCACTCACTCACTCACAGGTAACCCGAAAACTAATGTTATAAACCTCGCTGTCAGTTGTTTAATACGGAGACGGTTAGATCACCCGTGGTGACTATTTAAGGCGTGGTTAGTCAAGCACAAGAGACTAACCCGGTTTGAGAATCAGTGAAGCGTTGAAGCCGATCAACCAATAATCATTGCCAGAATCAACTTATCACACCCTACGTGTTAACATCATTAATGATTGGCAGGTACTTATAATGAAAGTTACAATTTATTGTCACCTTCATGTCTTGGATAATCCATAAAGATGGATTTTTAATATTTCATTTAGCTTCTTAATTATACCCATTGCTTTTCGTTATTTAATGACATCGATGTCCTTGGTTGAATATTAAAATTTCCTTACTATAAGAAAATCATTGACATTTTTTGCTTATCTTGATCTAATAATGCAGATTCATTGATAACGAAAGCTCCTATTGAAGCAGGGAATTCTCGACAAATTGTTGATTAATTAATGACTTAAAACACATTTAGGGTTTAGATATTTACTCTTATTAATGGCTACTAAAATCGCAACTGATATAATTGCCACTTTGAAAACAATATTTGTGAAACAATCTGTTATAGTCTTTACCTTTCGAATCCCTGTCAAGGACAAGGACGAAAAACAGAGGTCCCGTGTACACATTGACTTGACAAGGACAGCTGTCTACTCGTTCGGATGGGACATATGCGTGCACGTAAAATATCCCTTGGCAGTTGGAATTCGATATAAGAGTAGACCATAGTTCCGCTTCCCGGGCAAAATTCCCTCATACCACATAAACTGGGTTATTTTCAGGACTAATATATGGTTCAATTTTATTTCATTTAGTTATAAATACGTCCACTTGACACAAACTAGCTCATTTCAGAACTGACGGATCCTCTGGTTTCCTCCCACTGCTAAAGAGAGAGAGAGAGAGAGAAATGGGGTTTAACGTCCACTCGACACAAAGTAGGTCATTTCGGGACTAACATATGGTTTAATTTTATTTCAATAATTCGCTTGCGTATAGGGGTCTTTAGCAGTGGGAGGAAACCAGAGGACCCAGAGAAAACCCAGGAGGTTGGACAGGCGACCCTACTCCTTGTCACGTACATCCGGGGAATCGAAACCACACCAGCTGAATCAATGACAGACCTTATGATACAACGCGCACGCACTAACCATTTGGCCATCCAAACCCCAACCCTCACTTTGACGTTTTCATTTTCGTTCCATTTCATTTATACGGGAAATCATGCACAGCAAACCATCTTTGTTGTATTTTTTTGTATATCGAAGGCGGTTTGATTAAATGTAGTTAATCCATGTAAAATTTATTAACAATAGACAGATAGTCAAAAGTCAAGAGTTTTCTACATGACAGATAAATATCCACAAAATGTTCTCTTAGCTAACTTCATAATTTCTGATGAATTATGTCCAAATGACAAATTTATTAATAATAAATAGATATTCAAAAGTGTGGTTTTTTTTCGCATGACATATAAATATCCACAGAATGTTGTCTTAGTTAAATTCATAATTTCTGATGAATTATCTCCAAATGAAAAATTTATTAACAACAGATATAGATAGTCAAAAGTGAGGGGTTTTTTCCGCATGACAGAAAATTAGTCAAAAAATGTTGTTATTGCTAAATTCTTAATCGTTAAAGAATTATGTCAAAAGGACAAATTTCTAATCTCTAAAATTTAAATTGTGAATTGGGTATTTATTAACGACTAAAGGGTAAACAAAAGCATTT